TCTAAGAAGTGTAGTAAATTTATTTTGATCCTAATTCAATCAATAAAAATCAAGAAAAACATTACACTTTTGACCTTTTGCTTCGACGTGTCTTCTTTGATTCGTGACAAACATTTAACTCTTCAGCTCCTTTACGCTTTGAACCACAAGGCTTGTTGGAACTACATGGCTGTGGTGACATGGGTTGTGCATCCTTTTCATTCTTAGAAGCTGGAACATGACAGTCAGTTCTCGTTTGAGCTTGACAACCATCCTGGTTCCATACACTGCCTGAACAGCTCTCTTGCGATCCACCTTCACTCTGTTCTGGGTTTGCTTCTTGTCCTCCGCTGGTGCTGGCTACAGGCAGTATTTCACAGCTGCCAGGAAGTAAGGCACCTTCACTTTCCTCTGAGTCCATGCCCAGACCTTCAGGCACAACTCCCTGGTTGATTAGTGCCTGGAGGTCTTCACTCGGCACTGGTGCCAAGACTTTTCCGCAGGTACACACTAATGGATTTGCAGGAGATTTGGAACGCCAATACTGTAATTCTGTTTTGCACTTGTTCAATTCCTATGAAAAATAACAATCATCATATAATCAATTACAACCATTTCAATAAAAAGAATTACGAAATAGAAATAATTTTGAACTTCAGAATATGCCAACATTTGGCATTCATCTTCAAATACATCTATATAATAAAGTAGTAAATTAGAAACTGTCTCTACTTTTACAGAAAATATTTGGAACAAACCTGTAACAAACTGCTAAATTTACGTGAAGTTTCTTCATTTTTTTTATCTGTTTCATCCAAACGACTGGCATACTCAAGAATTTGTTTCTGTTGATCAGCCATCCGCGTTTTACAATTTCTCAAATCTCGCCTCATTAATGAAAGTTGGCTATTATATCTGATAAAAATGAGGAGAAAGTATGACAGCAAAGGCAATAGAAACAGTCATTACTAAAATGTTTGCATCATTTAAACAGTCCTGTACATAGAAAGGAAAAGATAAAAACCTATTAACCCACCTTTTCATTCCTTGCTTAATTTTACAAATGCGCTTACGTAGTACCATATTTGACTGAGGAGGAGAATCAACAATATCTTCAGATATACCAGCATCAAAGCTTTTACCATGAGGAGGAGAATCCAGGCACATGTATGGTTTGCTACTTGATGAACCAGTAGCTGCAACAAAGTTATGCTCACTCTTTAAGCTTGAGAATTGCGAACAATCCCAAGAGTATCCCTGCTAGATCACCCAATTACACTGAATACTAAATAGCTCATTGACAGACTACAAAACATTATGACTTAAAAGAAGTTTTCAAATTATTTTGCTATTCTTTTTGAAGACAGATAAATAAAGACAACTCACTGAATAATAAAATTTCATTTATCGCACTAGGAAACAACTTTCTAAGAATTTGCACTTACATGAGAAGGAAGCGAAGTCCAGAAATTCTGTTTCAAAGTATGCAATTTCTGGAAGTGTAGGTTCTATGTGTTCCTTGAAGTACTCCATAGCCATTGTTGAGAGATCAAATAGTTCATCTGTTACTTTATAGGGACGGGCCAATGGAACTGGAGTCAATTTAATATAATTCAGAACTCTGTAGACTTCATCCAGAATCTAAAAATGGAAAAATCCATGACCTTAATTTAACACTTCAACTCACTTTACCTGTCATCTGCTACACTTAAATGGGAGTTCTTTCTACATATTATTCACTAAACTATTGTGTATCTAGTAGTTCATTATATCGCCTTTTCAGAAAATATTGAAATTGAACAAAAACTAAACAAGACTGAACTGACCTCTCCAGCAAAAAAACAACAGTGTCTGCGTTCGATGTGTTTGCCAAAGGTCATTTGAAGGAGAGTGAGTCGCATTTGAAGAGTTTCAATTATGTCTGATTCACAAGCAAGA